CCTCTGCTGCCCCTTTGCCGCTCTCCTCTGGGACCAACGCCTTTGCTGATCCCCCTTTGCTGATCCCTGCAGCAGCTTGGAATGTCTCCTCAGCCTTGGGAATGCTGAGGCAGCCAAATGGCCTTGAGCTGTGCAGCGTCGCTGGCACGAGGAGGCTGCAACACAGAGCTGGTGCCGAGCGCGCAGTGCTCGGAGATGGAGCCCGGCCGGGCCCCGCGCCGCAGCCCCTGCCCGTTAACGGCGGCACCACGGGGCTCYGCAGCCTCTGCGGGATGAGGCCCTGGGCATGGAGCTGCCGGCGCAGCCCTGGTCCCACGACACCGGCACGTGGTCCCTGTGGCACCAGTGCAGCCCCTGTGCTGCAGCCTTCAGCATGCATGCAGCATCCAGCATGGATGGAAGCGAAGGAGTTGAAATACCTGCTCGCTTTGCATCACCCTCACAGCTGCCCTGGGGCTTGCAGGCACGGGTTTGCCCTGGAGACTGCTGCAGACATGGGTGACTTGTAGGAAACAAAGGAGTAAAGGGCCGTGGAGCCGTCTCTACCTCTGCCTGGGATGCCGGCAAGGGCAGCTGCCCGAGCGGGACTGGGGCTGGAGGAGCAGCAGGGGCGGCGCGGGGGCTCTGCTCCCTGGCCTGGCTGCAGCCACTGCCCCTCTAGCCCCTTCCTGAGCGGAGCAGAGCAGAGCTCGCAGCGCCCTGCTGAACGGCAAGGGCCGCACCGGGGATGTCGGCAGCGTCCTGGCGCTTCCCTTCGACATGCTTGCTGCGTCTTTCTGCAAGTTATTCCTGCCACCTCTGATGGAGCCAAGCAAATATTTGTGAAGAGGTGACACTTGTGTGAGTTGTGCAAATGAGGTGCTGAAGAGCTGCTTCATTGCTCACCCAGTCCTGCAGCTGCCGAGAGCGCCGGCCCAGGGCGACGCTCCAGGGCCCTTCCCGGCCCTGCAGATCCCGCCCTGAGCCCGGAGATCTGGTGCGAAGGGCGAGAGCGGCGCCGCTTCCCGGCGCTCGGGCCGGAGCCTCAGGGTGCAGCCAAACGTGGCCAGACCCCGGGGCCACCACCGCTCGCGGCAGGCRGGGCTCGCGCCGCCCTGGGTGTCCTCGGAAGGCTCACGGAGATTATTTAAATATTTTCTTGSTCATTAGCAATAATTTGGAGTGCTGCTCGCTCTTTACCGAGGCTTCAAGTGTGATTGTAATAGCTTTGTAATTCTGGGCCCTATCATTAAAATTAATGATATCATAATGCTCTCTGTGCACTGCAAAAGTCGGATCAGTTTTTCCCCTTTATATATCACTACTAATAGAACATTTTAATGGCTGTAATTTCCAGCCCCATAGATGGAAACCTAAAAATAGGAAGAAAGCCTCTTTCATCAGGCCGTGTCAGCCCCTAAATAATTCAATTACAATTACATAGACTGAAATATCTGATGCTGGGTGTGTTCCCGATCACCCGTAATGACAAATGCCATATATAATGTCTAAAAAAGACTTCTTATCACAGCGCCTCGACACCGCAGCGGGCGCCGCTCGCTGCCCGCGGTGCCTGTGCCCCGCGCGGGGCTGCGGGGCAGCGGAGCCCGGCCCCGCGGGATCGGCAGCGCGCGGGGAAGACGCTGCTGCGGCTCGGGGCGAAGCCTTCCCGAAGCTTCCACTGTTGCAAACTTGTAAAAACTGCTGGAAACGGTGGCATTTGTGCATAAATTAGCAGTTCCAATTTAATCAGCAGAGCTGCTTGGTTCCCGTCGAGCAGATTAAAGAGCTTTCAGCCGCACGCCCGAGCGGCCCGGCAGGCCGGCCCGAGAGAGGCGGCGCTTGAACTTTCGCACGACAGGGGAGCCGATTAAACTCCGAGTGTTTTTAATCATATAATTTATTTAAAATGCATTAGCTAAGGCAAAGAGAGCAAGGAGCCTCTTAGCGCGGAGAGCTGATGTTGGGGCAGATAGTGCCCCCAAGGCCGCRGCTCCCGGGGCGCCCATCACGTCTCGCTGCAGTGCCGGCCCTGCAGGACGTTCCCCTGTCTGCACCTTCCCAACCGGCGCTCGAGGGGTGACAGGAGGTGGCAGAGAGGGCTGGGGTGAACCCTGCACTGCTCCGACAAGGGCAGCTYGGGAGGGCGATCCCGCTGGAGCAGCGGCGGTGCGGAGCACATCGGCACCCCCGCCGCGCRCTCCCGGCACGCGCCAGCGCTCCTGGCACCGTGTCAGCGCCGCCCCAGCCAGCCTGGCCTCCGCTAATAACTAATTAGGAGATAATTAACATTTGCAASATGCAGCGGGAAACATCTGGGCCTGCTAATTTATGGGAAGCCTTCATGGCTGATGGATGGAGCCGGAGCAGGCGTGCGGCACGRCGTGGATGGATGGACAGGTGGACGGAGCAGCCCAGGAGGGACGAGGGCGCCGAGCAGCCAGGCTGGCACGGGCTGCCCCTCGCAGAGGCTTCCTTAGGTGGCCGGGCGAGCAGAGCAGAGCCGCTGGGCGCAGGAGGGCGCCGGGCTGCTCGTGCCTCCTCGGGGTGCTCTTTACCAGGGCTTTGCGGGAACTGGTGCGYGGGAGCCCGAGGGCTCCGGGGTGCACGGGGGCCCCGGTGCCAAAGCTGCTGCCCTGAAGACCAAGGGCTCGAAYGGGACACGGTGATCCAGCCCTCATGGTCCTTGGGAGCCACAGATAGCGCTGCATTTCCTGCTCTAATAAGCAACTTGCAGCCCTGCAGCATGAGGCTGGTGCACACAGTGCATTAACAGCCTCACCAGGAGCTGGCCCTGCCTCCCCCGGCACACATCCTGCAGCCCCACGGGTCTTGCTGTTGTGGCTCTTCCAAGAGTCCCAAGAAGCCTTTCCAGAGAGTTTCTTCCCTGTGTCTTGCAGTGATGAGATGCAAGCTGCAATTTTAGGGTGAATTAATTATATCATTACTGGAATCCAATTTTCTTCCTGACAGGAATGAAATGGAAAGGGAATAATAAGTTGCATGTTAAGTGCACAGCGATATGAGTTTATTGTCATTAATGGGGACAACTTCATTAACAAGCGTGAGCAAAATAAGAAATACAATAGTTCCCGCAAGCCGCTGTCCCACTGGGCAGGGCTGCTGCTCCCGCCTCGGCACGGAGCTGCCGGCATCTCCCGGGTGTCCCCGCGCTCCAGAGCCCAAGGGAAGTTGCTTGGAAGGGTCTCCGGGCACCAGGGTTGCGCTGGTCCCTGCAGGCTGGGCCTCGGGTGCCAGATGGAGCGGGAGCTGCTCGTGGGAGCAGAGACGCCGCTGCCGCCGCGAAGCGGAGCTGGAGGCCAGGGAACCTCCCTGCACCTCCCAGCAGCGCCGGCCCGTGCCAGGTGCCCTTCCTTTGGCACGAGGACGGTGCCAGGCCTGGCCCAGCAGCTGCAGGAGCCACAAGGAAGCACCTGCTGCCCGGCCCCTCCGTTGCAGCGGGAGCTCCCAGGCAGCCACGGCCGCAGAGGAGGCACCAACTCATTCATAATTCTTAAGAAATATTATTATATGGAAAAGTAATGAAAATTATGCAGCTAATCTACTCTAATAAGCGAACTTCGTGGCCGCTCTGTGCCGGAGACAGTGTGATAATATAAAAAATATGAGCTGTCATTTCCAATCAGTGCCGGGGAGGCCGCGGGAGCTGCCCGYGCCGCAGCGGGACCTGCCGCTCCCGGCCCGCGCGCCCAGCGCCGCACTGGGACGCGCTGGGACATCCCGGGCTGCCCCTCGGCCTCCCCTCCCCGCGCCGTGCGGAGGCTCCGGGGCCCTCGCCAAGCCCACGCGCGAGGAAGGCTGCAAGAACAGGCAATAAATTAAAATCCCGCCAGGCTCACAGTCAGCGGGATGCGTTTCAGCCATTTCCTTCTAATCCATTAGCGAAAATGGAGCCATCAGAAAATTAGGCGCTGCTTGATGGTTTTTGACTACTAATGACCGTGAGTTCACAGAAATAACTGCAGTAGAAAATGCTAAGGAATGGGGCGGTTCTGTCACCCAGCAAACAAGACTGAAATATATTGGACCGGGCCCGTGGTTGCTCCGTGTGGRCGGTGAGCGGGCGCCTTCCTCCCAAGGAGAGGGCCGGGCGCGCGTCGAGGMCGAGGCCTGGGGGCTCTGTGCAAACGTGGCCAGGCTCTCGTGACACTGCTGCACAAGCGGGAGCTGCTTTTGCACCAAAATTGCCCCTCTGAAGGCTGCTGCCACCTGCCCTCATGCTGCAGCAGAGTGGAGGTAGAGGAGGAGAGGAAGGCTCAGCCTAGGGCAGCAGGCCCTGCCCCGCTGCTCCCTGCAGCCACCGCAGCCCACGGTGACTACAACGATGCAAATGCACTCTGCAAACACTGCCAAGATCCTTGGCAGCGAGTCGTTAATCTTCATTACTTGCTCTACAGCTGAGAAGTTCCGAACGGCAGCGGTCAAGGGCTGTGTGCGCGGTCACGGTGCCCGCCGGCGCTCCCGCTCGCCCCTYGTGTCGGTGCGACGGGCGCAGCCTGCCCGGCCGAGCGGCCGCCGCCAGCACCGCTGCCCGGTGCCAGCCTGGAGCTGGCAGGGGCGGCCGCAGCAAGGCCCGCGGGGACAGCCCAGASCTCCTGCAGCCCGAGCACGCGCCCGTCTCACCCCAGCGTTCCCCCTCCGTCTGCACCACAATCATTCCGGCATTTTCCCCAGTTCTGCACAGAGTTCGTCCCGGTGTTTCCCCTGATCTGCACCAACTTCATCCCGGTGCTTCCCTCCCATCGGCACCAAGCTCATCCCAGCATTTTCCTCTTCAACCTGTACCAAGCTCATTCCCGGCATTCCCCTCCTGCCTACACCAAGCTCATTCCGGCATTTCCCGCCCCGATCGGCACCAAGCCCCGGGGTGCCCGGCCTTCCCAAAGGCAGCGCCCAGCCCCGCATGGCGCTTGCCCACGGGCTCACAAGCACCCGCACTTCCCGTAGCCACAGATGCTGCAGCACTCTGCCAATTCTGTGCAACAATTTTAATTGATCTAGAATCTTAAAAAATATTAGTGTCTAGAAAAATGCTTTGCTTATACAAAATTCAATGTAGAAAACGAAATGCTTAAAAAATATCCTGTGGATTTAGATTTGCATACTCTTTCAACTAAAAAAAAAAGATTGCAGCACGCTGAAATGTAGAAATACATAAAAAGAGGCAGCCTTCTGGGGTTGTGGGACAGTAACAGACATGGGCACAGGGCCCGTTTGAGCAGGAGGGAGGTCCCCAGCGTTACGTGACATTGGTGGGTTTGTTGCAGGGTCCCCAGGCGCACAGCCCGAGCGCCCGGGCTCCCTGCGACCGACACCACGGGCAGGGCACTCGGACGTGAAGCACRTGCAGGTGGGAGACACATCTGGGGCCAGGCGGCGCTCTCAGAGCGAAGCRGTGACGGCGGCGGGGCCCCTCACTCGTAGGTGACCGTCACGCAGAAGGTCTCCTCGTTCTTGTCCTCGTGGTCGTTGATGTGGATGAGAATGTCCTCGCGGGCGGCGTGGCAGCACGGGGCGAAGCGCAGCCCGATGGTGTGCGCCTCCCCGCCGGCAACCTGCGGAGCGCGACGCGCTCGAGCAGGGCCGTCCCGCAGCGAGCCGGCTCCGCGCCCGCCCGCGGCGCCTACCTCGAAGGAATCCTCCTGGAAGTGCAGCAGGTCGGGCCGGCTGGTGCGCAGGAAGTAGCGGCGCCGCGCCGGGTACGGGTTGGTGTAGGTGATGCGCTTGGTGGAGCCTCTCCCGCCGCCCGCGGGCAGCGCGATCTCGAACACCTGCCCCGGGGACACGCGTGAAGAGCGGCGGCCGCGTGCCGCCCCGCGCAGCGCAGGGAAGCGCCGCCCCGCACGGCACTGACGAGAGCACCAGGCGGAGGGCGAGGGCAGCAGCTCCAACCGGCCAACTAGTGCGCCCACTAATTAAATGAATTCCACTGGGACAGCCAGGGTGCTAATTTTGATAACAGAGCACACCCCTGGGAGAGCGGCTGCTCCTCAGCAGCAGCAGTGGAGCATTGGCTTAAATGCCCAACTTAACTCCCCCAGTACTGAGGGCTTCAGAAAAACATTTTTTAAATGAACACATTAACTGAGCGATCTAATTTTCTATCTGTGAGCCAAGTCCTAAGCCAGCACAGTGCTAATAGAAATCAGCATGCTGTAGCTTTAATTTCTCAACTGGGTATACTTCAGAGCTGACATTCCTCAGCATGGAGTTACCTTCAGAGCTGTCTGAAAGGCATTTCATTATGGTCTTCAGCGAGACTGCTCAAACACGGGAGAGCTAAACACATACTCCCGTGCCTTAGCAGTATGGCGAGACGGAAATAATAAAAGGAAGAGCGGGCAGAATTCATGCAGAAAGGGGAGGCCGCCCTCGCGGCCGCGGTGCCTCTGGTTCTGGCAAAGCGGGCGCTCCTCAGGCAGCTCCCAACACGCAGCTCCCGCACCCGCGGCTGGCACAGGGAGATTAACTCAGGGAGGAGGGTTAATCTCTAATCTGACAGTAATTCTGCAAAATTGCTTTTGCGATCCCTGACCATGACAGTCTGGGATAATGGAAGTATCTGCAATGCGACCCAGCGCTTGACTGGAGGACAGCAGCAAGTGAGAACCGCTCCAAGCCCCGGCACGTGCTCGTCCTCTTGCGGAGAGGAGTGCAGATGCCAGGGTGATTGGTGCCAACAGCAGGGGTAAAGAGGGCACAAGTGGCAGCCCCAACAAGTCCCACCCTGCAGGTGTGGAGCCGTCGCGCCCGCCCCGCAAGAGCCTGCACACCTTGGAGAGCAGGGGCTGCCGGCAGGACACGCAGAGCAGCCAGGAGGACACGAGCTGGTGACGTTCCACATCCACCACGTTGAGGTGCAGGAACCTGCTGCCCGCTTGCCGAGGCCGCACGCCCAGGGCCAGCTCCTGCACGGCGTGCGGCGGGAGGACGAACACGCCGTCCGGCTCCACCTGCAGGGAAGGCACGCGGTGGCGGCGAGAGGCTGTGCGAGAGCCTCAGCGCTGCTGTGCCGGCAACACGGAGCTGGCAGCCCCGCTGCGGGACACGGGGCGGCACAAGGGAAGCGAGAGGAGGCCGCCCCACACAGAGAGAGGCTCTTGGATGGTGTGCCCAAAGCAGCCTCGGGAAACCCTGCCCGGGAATGGGGAGAATAAGCAAGAGGGACTTCATGCAGATGGTGGCTGGATCACCGCGGAGCCCCCAGGCTGCTGCTCCTTGGCTAGTGACAGCCAGGAGAGACTCTCCCGTTCCCTCATAATGTCAAGGAGAATATAAATGAGGCCCTGACCRAGCGCAGGGAGCGTGCACCTACGACACAAATATTTAACACCACCTACATTAATAAACTGGGACTAACTTTACTTGAGCAGCTCTGTGCCAATTCTAATGTGAACTTTGCTTAGCCACATGAACGCTAAAGATGGATTTACCAACAGCGAGAGCTCTTCTCCCTGCCCGGGGTGCTGAGCTTATTCTTTGCTCTGCAGTGCTTGCTGCAGGACCAAGAGGTGCTGGTGCCAGGCACGTGCTGGAGCCGGGGCTGAGCCTGCTGCACCATCCTGCCCCGTCCTGCCCTGTCGTGCCCCACGATGTGGGGGACGTGGCATGAGGRGGTCCCACGTTCCAGGAGGAAAGGCCTCCGCACTGTGGCCTTCTCTGCTGTTTATGGAGTTTTGGGGCCTTCACGTTTACAATCATGACTAAAGGAATTCTCAAGAAATTATTAGTCTTCAGCTAGCCTCATTAATGCAGATAATTTGCCCTCTGGGGTTTTGTACCAATGATTCTACACACTCCAGCTTTAATCAAAAGATAATTATCACAAACACTTTATGGCAGTAAATTGTTCATAATTCCAAAAGGGATGTGTTTCACTGCGGCAGGGCTATCGCCACTAGGATTGTCAGCGCAAGTCCACTGCTGATTACAGTCGGGAAAGACCTGCCAGCCCTTTAGCTTGCCCCGATCCCCGCCGTGCGGGAGCCAAGGCGCAGGGCGGCGCGGGAGCCGTTACCTGGAGCTCGTGCGGGTGCGAGGTGTAGGCCCGGACCCTCCTGAGCGCCGGCGTGCCCCGCAGCAGCGCGCACAGGCGGCTCAGCTGCCCCGCCACGCAGCTCACGTCCAGGCGCTGCACCGAGTGCACGTAGAACTGCCACATGTGCACGGGAGCGGCGAGCCAGGCGTCCCTGGAGCAACGAGAGCGGCGCGCGGCGCTGAAACACAAAGTGGGACGTGAGCTCCCACGCGAGGCGACCTTCACCAGCACTTCAGCGCCCGGCTCTCACACAGAGCCCTGCTGCCTTGGCTGGCCTTGGGGCAAAAGATTTTGCTTCGGTCTAAGCAATTGCAAAGCGAAGCCAAGCCTGGCATCTGGCAGCGTGATAGCCCAGCTGGCTCCTAACGAGCTTGCTTGCACACTGCGAGCCGTCTTGCCACGAGAGACACTCGACTCGGAAAAGCAAGGAGCTCTCTAAGGTCCTTCACAGCTCACCCACACCAAGGGCAGTCTCGCGAGCAGATATTTCAAGGCAATTGGGAAGCCCTCTGGTCAGGTCTCTGCTCGTCACAGGAACATGTCAGATCAGGGAAGCAGAGAGCAAGAGCTTCTACGTGAACTCTCCTTTCTGCTCCGTCATGCTCCCTGGGTAATTGTTTCTTTTTCACTTTCTGGATTCTCCTACTTACGTATAAATAGCAACAAAGAATTTTTTGATCTGCGGGCTTGGTCCTCCAGCTACTTTTAAGAACACGTCCTGTGGTTCCCCGGGACCCTGAGTACAGAAATCAGAGCATCATTAGAACAGTTAACCTAGAGATCAAACCAGCTAATGAGGACTCCAGGGTTTCTTTTCCATTTAAAAAAAAAAAAAAAAAAGAACACCCCACTTATGAAAGCAGAAGCTTTCAGTCAGGAACCAGTTATATTATTTTATTAAGATGCTACAGAGTTTGGATTAACCCTTCCAGCGTTTCTAAATACAAAAGAGGATACAAAATGGCTATCACGTTCCACCTGTAATTAAATTCTGGCAATTTTTCCCAAAGTTTTGAAACAAGCCATAATTCAATTACCCACTAACACATTTCTGCAATGCCAGTTAGCAAGTTGCCTTCATTACCAGACACATTTATATGCACAAATTTATTTTTCATTTGGATCTCACCAGCTGAAAGCCCAGGAAACCTAAAATCTTAGCTATTAATTACCAAACAAAAGCTGCACTTGGGAAGAGAAACAAAGTGACTTCAGTCACAAGCTTTCTAGGTTTGGTCAAAAGAGCAATGAAGGAAATAAAAAGACCAGTATTAATTTTCAGTGTGCTTTTGCACCAAGCCAAGAGAGAGAAACAGGCCAGAACAGACCTTGAAATATCTGCACTACAGGGCAGTATCAGAAGGCGATCAGGAGGTAAAGCTTCACACACACACACACACACACACATCTCATGCTTTCTGTGCCCCTTCTCACCTTGCTAGCATTGCACATGGGAAAAGAAATGGGCTAGCTTTGGACAGCAACCTTCCTGCTCCTTCACTGAGAACACAGTGATTCCACCTCACTCCCTCCCAACAGCTGTAGGCACTCTCAATTAGACAGGAAAACATATTTGCAGCACCTTGAGAAAAGGCTTCTTTGTACCAGCATTTTGAATCATTTAATATTTCTTCAAAAGAACAAGCTAGTAGAGGCTGCTGCTTGATGTGATGAGGTGCAGAAATGAGCTTCCATTGCCAAAACAATGCAGCTCATTTTAAGTGGGGAAAGAGGGCCCATTTCAGTTTAATAAAAGCCAGGATTTCATCACTCCAGACTGATAAATCTAGGTGCTACCACTGGTGGGAGGCACTTCTCTGCTGACTACAACAAAGCACAGCAGAAGGACACACTCAGCCATCAGTTTGACTTTTATAACTGGTACCATATGTTTGGTTTCGCAAATGACGTTGGGGTCGCTGCAGCGAACGAACATCTCGGGTTCCCCACCTGGCATCCCTGCCGGTGCACCTAGGAAGGAGACAAGCACCAGCAAACTTCAGCATTTTCTCCATTGACTGCTCCTATCTCCTATTTTTGCTGCTCTCCATCTCCACAGTGCCATGGAGAACCAGAATCCCTTGTCCTAGGCTCGACTATCTGATGGCACCAGGTCAGCAGTAAGATAGSGGGCACTGATGCGAGGACCTAGAAGGAGGTCACTTGAGAGACACTCAGGTCCTGAAGACACAGAAGTACAGACAGCTTGATAATGCAGACTTGCGCTTTGAGATGCCATCTGCACCTTCTGGAAGGCTAACGGTGTTAAAATTAGCTGCATGAATGATGGAAGTTTGCTAACTAGGTGCATTCTACTATCACATGAAAGCTGATCCCAAGTCCCCCAGTCCCATGCAGTGTTTTCGGTCTGGTCCTTGGTGAAATGAAGGTATTTACCCGGAAGAGTGTGCCATGGGGGCAGCCGAATGGCCTTCTTCAGGAAGGTCAGCTCTGGGTGGTAGAATCGGAAGGTCTGGTCCACCACAGGCGGCTGGGTCTCCACCTCCACCTGCAGAATCGCAATGGGCTTCTGGCCACTCACATGGAAAGAGACCTGGGCAACACAAAGGGAGAAGCAGCTGCTCAAGGACAGCGACCACCGAGGTACAGAGCACAACAGCATATTGCTCAGGTGCAGGAGAGCAGCCCGCCGTCCGCGAGACGAGCAGCAAGCACGGCAGGCAGCTCCAGCCTGCACGCAGGAACGGCCGTGAACCCCACAGCTTCACAGGTGCCGTTAAGGGAAGTGCCTGATCATACACGCATGATCACTGCAATTTAAACGTGCCACAGGAATTACTGGGAAATGAAATCACTTAGGCTGAGAGCAACGGTTCTGAAAGAGTAACTGACAGAGGAACAGGAAGCATTTAAGCAGAACAGATAGGGGATGAGAATGTGAATATAAATATCCATGCTTTGCAAACATGGCATTTTTCTTGCTACATTTGCTGTGCTTTCATTAGTCAATGTTGAGCCTCTCAGTACTTGGGTTCATTTTCTATAGGTGATATTTGGACCCCAACCGTCCTTGCTCCTTATGGAAATATTGAAGAACTTGTTACCTATGTACCACCCTGCAGGTTGATTTCTACGGCTCTGGATGACAGTACATGGGAGAAAACAATGTGCAGGACCCCAGAATGCAGACATGGAGAAAAATCCAAACACTTCCATCCTCATTATAAACCTGATTCTGTAGGGGGGGGCACCCCAAATGAGTGTAGGCTCAGTCTGGGCTCCACTGCACTGAACTGAAAGCGCTAAACTTTCCAATSCCCCTCCGCATACTGCAAGAGACATTTCCCCAGCTTGCTCACCTCGATGCGCTTGGTGAGGGTCCCGCCAGGCTTCTGCAGAGAGGAGGCGGCCTCGTCTTTACCACCGCTCAGCCCCGCAGGCCCCTGTAGACACACGAGGCAGCGCTCAGGAGCAAGCACTGGAAGCACTGCTACGTGCAGCGAGTGCTTGCACTGGAAGCCTGAGCAAAGCTTGTCCAACATCTTTGCACAGCACCGGGAAATACAGGAACTTTGATTAAAACCAGCAGAAAACTCCTTAGCTGCACAAGGGTTTTAGTGCAAAGGTTTTGGTTGGTTATGGGGATCTGATCCRGGCAGGCAGCTCGTCGGGCTCCCCTGCCTGACCTCAGCAAGCAGGTTTTGCACTTCTGCAGCCACTGCAGCCAAAGGCAGGGCTGGAAGCAGCTTCTTCCTGATTTTATTCAGTGTTTTAAATCTTCTGGCTCTAAATGCCACCAGAAGAGCAAACACTGCAGGCACCACACTCTGCCAAAGACAAGTCTGAATGTCTTTAATTTGAACATCTGGTAACACCTGCCTTACATCACTCCCTGCTAAGCTTCTGGAGGGCAATATTCGCTACGAGAAGAGAAGGAAAGGGAGAAGTACTGGAAACCACGTGAAAGGCACTGCAGGTGAGGCCAAAAYGCAGCGCCTGATGGTACGAACCTGAGAGGAGTAGCTGATACCACAAAGGGCTGTSGTGCCATCCAGAGGGACCTGGACAACTGAATTATGAAATGTGGCACGTGTAAGGTTCTGCACCTGGGGAGGAATAACCGCAGACACCAGTACAGGCTGGGGACTGACCTGCTGGAGGTCTGCAGAGAGGGACCTTGGCRTCATGGTGGACAACAAGTTGACCACGAGGCAGCAGCACCCTCATGGCCAAGAAGGCCAACGGGATCCTGGGGTGCATTAAGAAGAGCATCTCCAGCAGGTCGAGGGAAGTGATCRACCCCCTAYACACAGCCCTGGGGAGGCCACATCTGGAGACTGTGTCCAGCTCTGGGCTGCCCAGGACAAGAGGGACGTGGAGCTGCTGGAGAGAGTCCAGCGCAGGGCTACSAGGATGATCAGGGGCCTGGAACATCTGCCCTGTGAGCAAAGGCTGAGAGAGCTGGGCCTGTTCAGCCTGGAGAAGAGAAGGCTGAGGGGGGACCTGATCAGYGTSTATARATACCTCAAGGGAGGCAGTGAGGAGGATGGGGGACCTCTTTCAGCAGCCCTGTGCCATGTGCCCTGGGTRTCCCTGCTTGAGCAGAGGGGTTGGACTAGATGATGTCCAGAGGTCCCTTCCAGCGTCATCATTCTGTGATTCTGCCTGCTTCCTAACCCAGCACAGCACAGCAGRCGCAGGACAGCGCACGCACTGCACAGGGGCACCTACCTGCTGCACGGCTGCCAGCTCCACCGAGAACGTCTGGTACTTGAAGGGGACATAAACAGTCTCTCTGGGACGCAGATAGAGCTGAGGCCYGTGGCCATCACGGAGCTGGAACATGTCCTCTTCAACGGGGGCAGCCGTCTTGGTCAGCTCCTTGAAGTGCCTCCACTCCCTCGCGTCCACRATCACGCTGCAGAGCGACACAGGGACTGCAGGGACAGCCAGCTTGGGTGGCAGCAGCCCTTGCCATGCCTGGCCGGGCCTCCCCGCTTCCAACGCGCAGCTCCCTGCTGGGACCGGGAGCAGGAGCCTTCCCGGTGGGAGGGATTGGGAGCAGGGAGGCGGGAAGGATCCTGGCCTGCGTGTGGAGCACAGAGTCGGACCYGAGTAGAGCACCGAGCTGCAGGTGCAGCTGCCTGGTGCCGCTACCTGAGCTCCGGGTGCTCGATCTCGATGGTGACCGTGTGCTGGACGTTGTAGGGGTTCGTCAGCACAAACTCGAAGAAGGCGGCGGTGCCCGGCGCGGCGCGCACGGTGCGGCTGCTCGTGATGGCCTGGCGCAGCATGCTGGCAATGCCCTCGCCCTTGAGGCGCTCCCGGTAGGCGGCGACGAGCTGCAGGTGGCGGGCGCTGCGCGCGGCTGCGGCGCTGCCTGCCCGCGGTGCTGCCCGCACGCCGCCCTCGTCCTGCGCCTCGCGGCGCCGCACCARCGCCATCCGCTGCAGCTTGCGGCGGCGTGCGGCTTCGCCGGCGCCGCGGGGTCCGGCCGCGCCGTGCTCCCGCGGCCCGCAGCTCAGCAGCGCCGCCAGCTCGCCGTGCACGTCGGCCAGGCGCCGGGGTCTGCTCCTGCCTGCTGGGAGAGCACCGAGGATGCCGCAGTGCCTGCATGAGCACTCAGCGGGCGCGGCCGATGCTGCTGCGGCAGCCRTGCGGACAAGACCATGCAGCAGGGAACTTACCCACCGCAGCCTGTGCCGGGAGCAGGCAGCCGCCCGCCAAGGTGCCGTCGCCATCCTGCATCACTGCTCTGGGGCAGTGCGCCGTGGACCAGCGTGGGGCTGGAGGCCTCTCCTCGCTGCGGCGGCCTGCACGGGGCAGAGACAGGGTGGGCTGCAGCCTGAGCCTCCCACGGCCCTGCCCTGTGTGCCCTCCGTGTGCAGGAGCGCTCAGGGGCCCTGCCCGGCATCCCCTCCACATGCAGGCGCGCTGCCTCGGGACAGCTCCCCTGTGCCCTCCCCGTGCTGCACCCRCACCAGCACAGCTCTGCCTGGCATCTCCCCGGGCTTTGATGCCTCCAGCAAGTGGTAAATSCAGAGTCCATTCCTGCTCCTCCGCAGCCCCCGCTGTGTCCCTGGCCGAGCAAGGGCACGCGTGGCTCAAGGCCGGGGCCCACGCTCCACGGCCCACATTCCAGCACTGCCCCACTCAGTAGTGCACGGTGCCAGCACAACGTCGCCAAGGGGAACCCTTCCTGCCCCCAGATTCTGCTTCTCCAAATGGCTCGATATAGACCATGACATGTACAGAAAAGCCTCTGGTGCTAACACCTCACACCACATTGCRTAAGGAACTTTAAAAAACTTGCTAACATTACTTTGCCACTAAAAGCAAACCAAAACCCACGCAGGCAGAGAAGCAAAGGGCAGCTGTTGCCCTGGGTGCTGCCTTTGCCGTGGCGCTCGCCGGGTGCGAGCTAAGCCTCTCCGGGTTAGGAAGCTCTCCTCCCCGGCAGCTTATCGTGCTCTTGCAGGCAAAACATGAAAACGCCAGTTTAAGTTATCTTATAATGGAGCTAATCTTTTTTCTAAGATAAGGTTTTAAGCCCTGCAGTCAGCGCACATTTCCAGGCCGGTGAGCTGGCCATAAGGAAGGACGGAGGCTGTTCTTGGCAGAGCGGCATCCTGGCAAGGCTGGCGCTCACAGTCTGACCACCCACGGCCTCTGCCCCTTCACCAGCACCTAACCGAGCTGTCCCTGACCTGCCTGGGCCAAGCAGACTGCACCCAGGGCACCTTGGACACATCCTTATTCTTCCAGAATAAAATCCTTTTGCAAACATCGTGAATGCAGCAGCAGCTTCCAGCCTGGCACGCGCCTGGCAGGACGTGCGCCCGGCCCCGCTGCATCTCTGCTGCAGGGAGCCGCGCTCTGCCCGGAGCAGCACGCGGGCCTGCTGCTCGCTGCAGCTGCTCGCGGCCGCTCGAGCGCGGCGCCGAGCAGAAGGCGCAGATGCGCTGCCCACGGCGGCCCCGCTGCTCGGCGGCCGCGCTCCTCGGGCTGCCAGCACGTAGCGGCTCAACCGCRAGAGGGGAGAGCGCAGAAACGCGGCCTGGCGCACGAGTGGCAGGGGCGGCAGGCRCAGCCCCGAGGCCGGCAAGGCTCAGGGGCCCTGTCCCTCCCAAGGGAACGCGGCGCCCGCAGCTCTTACCCACGTTGGCCAGGCAGAGGTGAAGCCGGCCCTTGGTGGCCATGCGGACGCCGCCGGGCCGCAGGGCGCCCGCGCCCGGCACCGCCGTGTCCTCCTCGTACTCGGTGGCGGTGACGTCCAGCTCGTGGTGGCTCCTGACGGCGGCCCGGCCCTGGCGGAGCAGGGGCTGCGGAGCAAGGACAGAGCGCTGCAGCGGGCGCCCTCGCGGCCCGGAGCAGCTTCCCGTGGCAAGGAGAGGGCAGGGGCTGCCCACAAAAGGGCCCAACTGCAACTGCCACCCAGGGGGGCTTTTTACATTGTGCTCCAGCTAACTTGCACCTGAGAGGGTCGCACAGCTGGATAAAGATGTTTCTAGATTTCTTAGCTCTGTTTTTTAACACCATAAAGCTTTCGAGTACYGTTAAAGTTCCAGAGAACTCGAAAATGGCTAATGTTTTGCCATCGTTTTCAAGGCTAAGGTGACAAATGCTGTGATTACAGGCCTGTCAGATTGACATCCGTCTCGGTTAAACAAGAGAATGGCTGATTAAGCCTGGATTATTAAAGACTCCAGGGTGATATATTAATGATGTTTGCTAGAGAAGCCAACAGGAARCGTGCAGGCTCTTCCCGGGCATCCCTCCTGCCAAGCAGGGACTCCCTGCCAGCAGCAGCGCTCAGGAGAGGCGCGCTCGCTACCTGCAGCTTGACTGCAGCCGAGCCTACGAGCAGCAGCGAGTCGCCGTCCCACACGTCCAGGTGAAGGCTGCGCTCCGCCAGGTACCGCACGAAGCAGCGCTGCTCTCCGGGCTTCAGGAACGCCGCGTCCACCACGTATTTCAGCTGCAGCCCCGGAGAGCCTGCAAGGGAGGAGCGCGGCGGTGACGGCAGGCACGGCACCCCACCCTGCCCACACCCCTGCACCCGCCCGCAGACTCCTCGCGGCGGGAAGACAGAGCCTTTCCTACAGAAGAACCTGCCACGGGCAGCTGAGGACCACCGGCTCAGCTCATCCAGCATCTCCGGGAGCACCAGGGCCTGTGTTATCCTGAGCGAGTGCCAATCCCATCTAACGGCCCTGTTGGCCACTCGGCAACCTACAGGATCGAGCAGGGAGTGACATCTCCCCGCAGACACACTCGCTTTGTATGGACCTCTCCTCTATTTCCGGTAATAATTCCGCACGGAGAAGGAATGTTATCAACTGAACACGCTCTGCAAGAGATGCTATATTGGCTTTGTGCTCTTGGGACAAGAATTTAATAAGACAGAAAAAAAAAAAAAAGAAAAAAAAGGCATATTGCTGCGAGAATCAGATTAGATTACTCCAGGCAGTTTGCTTTAATGTGTTGCATGTCTTAAATACACTCAGCTACCACCGGAGTCAGCAGTCTAGATGTCTGAATCATGACACCAATACATATTGATGTTTTACTTTATGGTTTGACATTTTGAACATTTTAATTATATGCCACAAACTAATGGAAGGTTGCTATTAAAGCAGACGGTAGCAGTCCATTCCCCCGACCTGGAGACAAGCCGCAGTCTGATGGACCGAGAAAACACGTGGAATACTTCCTATTGTTTGAACTTCCCAGGAGGGCTTCCCTCATACAGGAACACAACAGCAGAGCACACAAAACAACTACAAAAGACAAGTTTACTGATGAACTGCATGAAAGACTCAAAACAGCAATAAAATTTCAGTATTAATGTGCTTGTAAGCCCCAGGGCAAGGCCTAGCAAAGAGTGAAAACTCTCTGTTTTACACATAAAAGTAGGTCGCTGGCCTCCAAACCAGGTCAGCCTCCTCTGCTGTGGGCAGCAGCTACGTGAAGGAGTCGGTGAGGCTGGACAGGCCAACGGGAACTTCCCGGCCGGCCGACGGCCCCGCTGCGGCTCTGCCTCGAGACAGCATGGCCTGGCGCAGCGGCTGCCGTGCAGGTGACAGTGCGGTGCAGCAGCGGGCACGCTGCAGCGGCGGGCACGCTGCAGAAGTAAGCATGCTGCAGCAGCACGCACGGTGCAGCAGCAGGCATGGCACACGCGGTAGGCACGCACTCCCACGGCCGTCACAGACACATCGCCCTTCACTCCCTCCGTCCGCCAAGCTTACCGAGACCTCCGTCCTCGCGGATGGGGAGCAGGATGCGCGGGGAGGCAGCGTGCCCATCGCCGGCGTCGCCCAGCTGCAGCCGCGCCGTGGTGACCGCGGGGAAGCGGTAGAACTGGAAGGTGAAGAACACGGTCTGCGGCCACGATGCTTCTAACCCGTTCTGCAGAACCCTGCGCCAAGAGAAAGGCCGGTGCGGGTTAGCGTGCAGTGCCCACCTCCCCCGGCGCCTAACGGCGTGAGCTGGTCGCCTGCTGAGCAGCAGGGAAACAGGAGAGGACCAGCACTATCAGCAGCATGTGGAGCCCTTGGAAGACAGGGGGCATATGCTTTGTCTTTGCCTTCTGAAAGCTTCTCAACTCCAGCTGTCTTCTACCGTATGCCGTGATGGAAGAGCCAAGTTAAAATCCCATTTTACCTTCCCACAGCACGTTGTCATCTACAAGCAAAGTGCCATCACGAGGACGTTACCACAGCGCCAGCAGGTTCCACCCAAGTTCAAGCTCCAGTTGGAGTGACAACACAACCTCACCCTAGCTGGCTCTGGCATCGCTTTGCGGCCATGCAGCCAGAGAGAACGATGGAATACACTCTAGAGAGACTTCCAAGAATAATACGGCTGTAGAAAACCCTGGGATTCTGTTTCCATCACAAACATTAAAAGCAGCAGCACTTTCACAACATTATATCCAAATCACACAAGCRAGTGAGTTGTGGGTGGCTTTGGAAAAGGACCGTTTCTCAGAACACCTCCACTTTGCCAGAAAACCTGGGATCTTACCGAGTAAAGGTGAGAAACTGCAGGATGATTTCGTTGGTCTGCAGAACATCGGCCTCTTCCAGTTGGGAACTGAAGCTCCCAGGGTTGCTGGGGTCACTGACTTCCACGGGCTCCTTGTTACAGTCCAGGATTTCGGGAAAGCCGGAGGCGCGCAGGTGAGCGAGGAAGGCTCGGCTCTGCGTGGTGCTGGAACCCACACGCAAGTTGTTCTGAGGCCCGCGGTGGCTCCCGCGAGGCCGGAGCCGCCGGGCACCGCAGCACGCTCAGCGTCAGCCCTCGGCTGCGCAGCCGCATGCGCCCGAGCGCCGCAGCTCACCTGCTCACCGGCGCCGCGACGGGCGCGTGCACGGGCACAAACGGCAGCTCCCGCAGCGGCTCGCCGTCCTCGGTGCCCAGCTCAGCCTCCAAGTGGGCGATTCCGGCCGGGCTGCTGCTGCGTGGTGGCTCCTGCGGTGCCGGGAGAGCAGCCGACTCGCCAGGGCACCGCGCGCCCGCCGCCCCGCTCGGCGTGGCCGCGRGCTCGCTGCGCCGCGCTGGGGACACCGACAGCTGCCGCAGCGAGAGCTGAAAGGCAGGAGGGCAGGCAGTGAGCGCAGCTGGCAGCGAGCAAGCGCCAAGCGAGCGGCACCGCGCGGCAGCGCCCGCTGCGCCTCGCGCGTCCTCGCCAGGGCTCAGCAGCCCCGCGCAGCAGCAGCACGGCTTGCCTGCCTGCGCGTTCGCACCTCTGTTCCCTACTTTAGCTACCCGCCCGAATGTCGTTTTGCAAAGGCAGGAGGAGGAAAACATGGTGGGGGGGGGCGGAAATGAAACAGCTTCGTGCCGCCCTCTGAAGCATTTCATTTTATCGGAAAAAAATGCGAGCATTGATCCTGCACTAAGATTAAAAAAACAAAGAGATAAGACACTGCAGTATTCATAGCTCTTCTGCAAGCCTGACAGCTCTCCACGGAGAAACTGTGCCTCACAGTTTCTCATTTGCCATGGGACAACAGCAGCTAGAAAATCTAGCTCACCAATGGCCAGAATCGCCCTTAAAATAGTAAATTGGGAGCATGAAAATAGCTCAGAGATTTGTGTCCAGCAAAGTACAGGCAGAATTTGTTTTGCTTCCTTGGAGGACGCGGATTTCAGCAGCCCGTTCAGTGCCATTTGGCCACAACAGCCTTGGAAACGGGCAGCCGGCGGGGCAGCGAAGCGGCTCTGTGTGAAGGGCCGGCGCTGCGGGGGCACCACGGCCGCCCAGCGCTCCAGCCCTCGCCGGGGTCGGGCACCGCGTGGCTCTCGCGGACACACTTACCCCGGGGCCCGTGCTGGAGGCTGTCAGGCGAGGAGGGGACACCGCACCTGGGGACAGCAGAGACACGGCCTGCTCAGGGCGCTGGCACGCGCCGCGGGCTGCCCGTGCTGGCACGTGGGCACACGGCACATGTGGGTATACCTGGCACACATGGGTACGTGCTGCGGGCTGCCCACGGTGGCACACTGCACTCGTGGGTACGCAGCGCATGTGAGTACGTGGCACATGTGGGTACACAGCACGCACGCACTGCGGGCTGCCCACACCAGCAACAGCAGACACATGACACACATGACCCACATGGACACACAACACATGCAGACATGACACATGAACACAACACACGTGGGCATGCAGCGCACACGGGCACACACCACGGAGCAGGATGCGGCCCTGGGCTCTGCCCCTCGCAGAGGCTGCGCCGCTCGCGGGGCTTCGCGCCCGTCTGTCCCCACCAGCTCAGCACACAGGAGGGGGAGGCGGCGCCTGCCCAGGGCCACCCGCCGCTCCGCGGGAGCTGGGCTGCGTGTGCCAGCTCCGCTTCCCTGCTCCGGGCGCAGCTCCCGCCAGCGCCGCGCTTCCCTCCRAGCCACGCGGTGCTGCTAAGCGCATTGCCTAATGAGACGTGAAAGTTTAGGATACTTAAGGTTTTCATAGTGCTTCCATTATTTCTCGTCACTACTCTCATCTGCTGCTACATCCGTGCCCTGGAACCGCGCGGCCACTCGCTGCTCGCCGGCACGTGCCAAACTCACCGCCGCACCCGGGGCCCGCCAGCCCTGGGGACACGTGTCGAGCACGGCTACCCAGAACCGCGCGCTGCCCGGCACCTCTCCACGTCTGCACAAAAGCCCCCAGGACATCGGGAGGCTGTTGGGTCTGCAATGCCAGGGAAGGGGCTGCAGGGACCAGGGAAGGGGCCGCAGGCACCAGGGACGGCTGTGTCAGCACTGGCAGCTCCCGTGCAGCTGAGCACACCCAGCGGAACAGACTCTGCCCATGGTGCCGAGGCCGGAGGGAGGCCGGGCCCAGCCTGGCCCTGAAGCAGGACGGGGGACAGGGGCAGCCGGGCTGTGCCACCTTGTCCGTAGTGCCTGCATTGGGGACGGAGGCACCTGCTGCCCCACGAGACTCCGAGCATCTCATCTGCCAGGACACGCCAGAGGTCATGGGGGAGGCCAGGGGTGCCCCAAAGGGGACACCTTTGCCAGACGCTGCAGCAGGGTCACAACAGAGGCAAGCAGCCTGCTGGGTTGTTTTCAAGCAAACCTGAAGCCTGAGAAGCCTCAAGCAGAAGCAGAGATGTCCACATCCACGCAGCGTGTTCAGCAGTGGCCGCCCGGCCAGATTCCCGTGCACGGGGCACCCGGCACCCRCGATGCCGACAGCAGTGAGCGCCTGTCTTGAAAGTCCGCTAAACACCGAGTTCACTGGAGAGCACCCTCCTAAATCGGCGGAGACAAAAGGAGAGCAGGGGTGCCAAGTGCAGCACATTCGCAGGCCTGGCTGGAGACTAATTCCTCACGACGGGCCACGCCGGCGCAGGCAGGTCCCGCGCGCTCGGCACAGCTGTCACGAGCCACAGCGGCTCCCGTCAGCGGCGCCGGGCGCGTGGCCGAGCACACAGGAGAAGCTAACGAGCAGCTCGAGCAGCCTCCCGCACCCCGCTCTGCTGGTGCCTCTGGCTCTGTCGAGCATTGCTGTGGGGCACGAGGAGCCRGAGAGGCGCCGGGGCCRCGCRGGGCCCTCGCTGGGCACGGTGCCCCAGCGTGGGCAGGGCAAGATCTCCCAAAGAGGATGGGGCGGCCGCGAGTGCAGCGAGGGCAGTGGAGCAGGGCGTGCAGGGCGCTCTCGGCGAGGAGCATGGCGAGGCTCTCGCCTGGTCAGCGCCACAAAAGCCCATCGCGACGCGCGCTGCCTCCCCAAGGCGCCGCTGCACAGACCCCCTGCAGCTCCGCGAGCGCCCGGCGGCCCTGCACGAGGCCAGGAATTCRCCCGTGAAGCTCCCTGTGACGGCAGGGGCTGCTGAGCATCCCCTGCACCCCGGCTCCCTCCGCGCGCGGGAGCAGCTCTCGGTCCCTGGGCAGCGGCCTCAGGGCCACGGGGCTCTGCGCTCGCTGCAGCGCCGTGGCCAGAAGGAGCTGCCAAGGCCTCGGCCTCCGCGGGGCGGCTCAGCGCTCCACGGAAGCGCCACGGCGCCAGCAGCTCCGCGGTTCAAAGAGCACTTGTCTCCACCGCGAAACGTTCACGAGCAGACGGCTCCTCCGGCAGCCCCTCGAGTACAAATGGTCCTGCAGACTCCAGCAACAACGCCACATTAATACGGTAATAAACTCACATATTGACGTTTGAACAGGCAGTTAAGTTGCCAGCAATCTGGTTCACGCATCCCTACATAGATCGAGAAAGATTAAAAACACCAGAGCGGAGGGACTGTCAATGAAAGAGGAACATTCATCACTGCAGAAGCCATGGCGAAACAATCGAATTATTCCAAGCCATATAAATAGGCAAATTTGTGTTCTCTTATTTTGATCCCTGTGTCACATTCTGGCGTGCAAAGTTCAGATAAAAATCTAGATCTACGAGTTTGCTTCCTGCTGAGTGTGGAAAAAGAACAGAGAACAGAGCCATAGGAACGGGAGGGGGTTTTCAAGAGCACTGGGCATTGATTTACCTCCCTTCCCAAGTCCAAGTCAATGGAAATTTTATTTCTCTCTTCACTACACATAACAGCTCAGTGCTGAAAACCCCACCATCTGGCACTCGTGTGCTGTGCGCACGCGCCTGCGCCAACAGATAYGGGGGCAAGAGCCTGGAAGAGACCCGCTCGCCTCAGAGGTACCTGCGCTGAAAGCTGCGCCGCCGCCACCTCCCGTAAGCCGCAGCTAAACGAGGTTATTTATTATCCAGCCTCAAACTGCCAACTCCTCCATCCTCAGGCGTGGAGGAACCAAGGGTTTCAGGCGCCGGGGAACGCGGGCAGCRGGGAGCGATGCCTCTCGGGGGTGCCAAGGCGCCCACGCGCCGGGACAGCGCCGCGGAGCGCGAAGACGGCGGCAGCCGGGAAGCTCCGCGGCCAAGTCCCGGCAGCGCAGCCACATTTGCAAATTACAAAGTCTAAATGGGAGCTGGATTCAAAGGGATGCAAGCTCCGCTCACTGTGATAATTCGTAAATTAGTTCGCTGAACTTATCTGGTTTTTGCTTCTGATCACAAACCAATGCTACACTCTACGCTTTAAATGTCACCAACATGGAAAACACTCACTCGGAGCTGGTGTAGGAGGCCTCGCTGAATCTTCTCTCTCTTTACTTGAGACATCTGTAGAAGTTACAAGATGTTCCTCTGAATCCGTGGAAATGTGGAATTGGATGGTACCAGATTCAAGCTGCCTCACCTGAAATTTGGAAGGGAAGCAAAACACTTTTAAAGAATGCACGCTATGTACGTACTCTTTTGTATCTCTCAAAGGAGAAGCAATTCTCTCAGCTGCAGCCAGAGAAAACGTGGTGCAAAAAGCATCTTTCCAGGCATATGGAGGCAGAGCTGGCAGGGATTTACATTTTAATAACATCGCTGAAGATCTGTCCGCTTGCAGAAACAAACACACTGGCAAACTCTTTCTATGGCCCACCTCAGGCATAAAATCTTGCTGAGTTAAGGACGTTCACATATTCACCAGGTGCTTAAAATTAATCTAGTGCTCTGCCCTTCATGCAAACAATAAATGTGAACGTGTCCAACACAGAGCGGGGCAGGGCAGGCTGCAGAGCTGCACAGCTTGCTGTCTGAGGTGGAGAGCGAACACTGCAGTCYGGCCTCGTCAGGGGAGTCTGGAAACAACAGACGTTTTTGCAAGGGAGGTRGGGCTTTTTACTGATAAACTATAGACCCTTGGGGGCGAGGTCTTGGACCCTCTGTTTGCACTTTAGGAATGGCTCAGGAACTCGCTCAGGAACAGCAGCCCCCAAGGAAAACCACCATGAACACGGTGGCAGAGCACAGGGCACAGCGCGCACCGCGGGGCCTCCCTGCTCTTCCCAGGGCTTCCCGCGCTCTTCACGGGGCTTCTCCTTCACCCGCAGCCTTGCTGGGGGCCTCGCTCCCACCTGGGCACCCAGGAGGCCCCTCAGGGTGTGGGGTGCCCGAGGGGCTCCTCACCTCCGCCGAGCCGGCGCCGCGCTCCCTGTAGACGAGGGCTCGGCCAGGGCTGCGGCGCGCGCCGCCCCGCAGCGGCACGGCCACGTCGGCGGTGCCCGCGCCCTCCGCGGGGCTCCACGCAGCCCAGCGCAGCGCCTGCATGCTCACCGCCGGCACCTGCGGGAAGACGAGAGCAGGGGATGCTGCAAGGACACAGCAGGAACAGCCCCGTCCCCAGCCCAGGCCCCCCCTCGCTCTTCAATCAGTCCCCCTCGGCCACGGATGGCTCCAGGGAACACTTCCCGCCACCAGCGTAAGTGRGAGCGTGTAACGTCAGCGCTGGCAGGTTTTACTAGGAATTTATTATCACCACTGCCGCAATAACAGAGACAATGTTCCAGAGATGAGAACTCTTCCTATGCATAGAAGGTGATTAGGTCGCCRCGATAAGGTCAGGAGCTCATTAAAGAACTGTAACTCTCTCACTCAAGGAGCTGCATTAAATGATATATTTTTGACCATCTTCTCCTCAGAGATAGGACACGTATTCTGGAAAGATGCTAAAAGGTTCCACTTTGGCAAGCACGCTAGCAGCCTCCCGTAGGAGCGCAGGCTGCAGGGAACGGGCGCAGAGCGAGCRCCCAGTGCCGGGCTGCTCGGGAGCACCCGTGCAGGGCGCAGCGGCAACGKGCGCGGCAGGAAGGGCACAGGGTCCCGGCCCGTCCTCCCTGCGGAGACGGGAGAGCCCGGCCAGCGCTCCCGCTGCCCCAGAGCAAGGCCGGGGCTGCCCAGGCTGCCCTAACCTGTGCTCTGTGCCCCAGCTCTGCTTCCAGGGTCGCAGCTGGAGCCAGGCCCCCCCGGAGCGCCGAGGGAAGYGGCGCCGCGCGGCCCACCACCAGCCACGCGCTCCCCGCCTCAGGCCTGGGCAGGCCCCTGGGCTTTGGACTCTAAATGAGCTGAATCCGATATCTCATTTGCAGCCGCACGCTGCTCCACGGCGTTTCCTCTCCCAATCAATACCAAGGCTTTCGCTCTGTGTGTGCCTCTTTTACAAATACCCACATTTCCCCTCGTTTTGCTTTGGACAGCTCTAACGAGAGGCGATGTTTATTGCGTTACGCGTGACCCTCTCCCAGCCTCCTCAGCCGGAGGATTCGGGGCCCGTGAGGAACTGTTCACTCTGGAGGTGGCCCCGGAGCCCTGGGGAAAGCCAGGCTGCACGCCTGATGTCACCGCGGGGTGACCACCAGGGACAGCTCGGGAGGGAAAAGCCACATTTAAACTCTCAGAAAAACCCCAGTGTGCCAGAAAAGGACATGCCTTCAGCATACAGCTTATTTTTGTGCTACATTCTGAAGAGTAGCCTTTTTTAAATTAAAAATAGCTGAAATTCTGCCACTTGGCTTGCCAGAACACTCCAGGACTGCTGCAGGCTAATTTCTCCATATACATACACACAGTGGAAAAAAAAATTTAACAACATATAATTAAAATGATGGAGTGAGCCCCTCCGCGCCATCCTGCACAGGCTGCTGCTGGAAGCCCAGTGACATTTTGATAGGGGGCATTTGCCTTTTGTCCCAGGGAGCRAAACAGCTCTCGGGCAGCGCCCGCGGGCACCCGGACAGGACCCTGGAAGCCACTGCGTGGTCAAGTGCACCTTCCCCTCCTGCCTCCACATCCTGCGATGTTCACAGGCACAAGCAAGAATTTAAACGCGATGACAACAGCAATTAAAACCAATTAACCAGAGGCTTGCATGCAAGGGAGCCAGAGGAGCTTGCAATGGCTTCAACACTCCAAGGGTTCCCCGCAGCCCCTGCCGCCAGCCCCATGGGAAGGGGGATTATCTGCAATCCCCCCTGCAGACTCTCTTCCGTCTTGATGCACTCAGCTTCACACGTGAGGGACATGGAGGGTCCATGAACAGGGTGGCCAAAAGCACGTGGGGGACACGGAGAGCCCGTGTGCAGCGAGCAGGGCTGGCGAGTGCGCACGGGGGACACGGAGGGGCGGCTGGCACGCACTGCCTGCGAGCGGAGCAGCAAGGGGCACAAGGAGGTCCCTTCCCTGCCCACCTCGTGTGGCCACCACCATCCAGCATGGAGTGAATCCTGGCAAGACAAGAATGCGGATGAGGCGCCCGGGCTGGGGGCAACGGTGCCAGGCAAGTGCCTAAAAAGCACTCGCGGTTTTAGTGTTTTTTTTTTTTTTTTTTAAACAAGATTAATAAATCTGTTGCTGAGAGGAATCCTTTATTCACCGTGCTTTCTCTTCTGCTTTATGCTCCCCATCTGTCAAGTCATGAATCCGAGATGCTAGTCAATAGCAATTTTTAAAAACAAACAACTTTTCCACCAGCGCTCCTAATGAGCGCGCGGAGCACCGCCGTAACCGCGACGGACTGTGGGCAAAACCTGCGGGAAGCAGCGAAGGGATTTATCAAGCATCAAGATCTCGTGATTGCGAAACGAAAACACTTCATTTTTCAGAAATAATTAAAAAGCAGTGATGTGTTAAAATAAGCCAGGAAAAGGCACAAAACACAAACCCTGCAGAAACACAAACCCTGCAGTTTGAATAAGAAAATCCCGCAAATATCCAACTATCTTAAGCTATCCAAGAGACAGCTTAAGAACTAAGAAGTGTTTTGAGCTTTGGGTTCTATGATTTTTGAGGTCATTTGAATCTGAAGGGCCCRTCTTTTGCTCCTACATTATTAACCATTTCTGCATTTTCCTTTGCTTCCTAAATTATAAGGCATAAGATCRTCATGATAGGAACTGAAACACTGAAAAATAAACCAAATGCCAGTGCTTAAAACCAGCTCTTTTTCCTAACATGCTTAGAGGACAAGTTACCCTCAATTTAAGCTACTGATGTTCAGCACATTTATAAAAGGCTGCTCTTTTTAAGTGTTAAAAAATGCTCTTTACTGTAGATGGTGCAGCACATSCACTGTTCATCTGAAGCCTATTCACACACTACCAAAAGGCAAGGCGCTCCAGCTCCCTCTTTTCCAAGTCCCTTTTATTTAGGGAACTTCACAGACCTGTTTCTTTACATCCGGACAGCTTAAAATGAAGGCAACATGAGAAGATGATAAACAAAGGGGGTTCTGAGAAAAGAGCCAAAGAAAACGGAACTTCTAATTTGGAGCTGCCCGGGCAGCACCTCTCCCGAGCACTAGCCTGGTGGGTCGGAGGAGCCAGAAATCTCGCTCAGCTTGAGCCCTGCAGCACAGTACAGCACTTCGGAGGCGAGGGAGCCGTGCACCAGCATGAAGCCATTTCTCCTTACAGGACTCGAGACCTTAACCTTTGAGGAAGGAGCTGTTGGGTGGCTAATATGTCTTAAATGCCTGTGCTAATTAAACAGTGGACAAGAATAGCTCAGAAGGTGCCATTTGTCTAGTGCCTTGATAACGCAGGACGGTGCAATCTGGACAGGGTATCTCGTTACTCGAAAGGACTCTGGTCCATCAGGTGCAGATTTATGTTCTTTAATAATTGATCAGAGAAACTTTAGAAATGTCACTGAGTAACCAGAGCAGCTGTGAGGCAGTCACTGCAGCCCCTCAGGGACATGCAACTAGTTAAGGGTTGTCAGCAAAGCCCTTGCCCGTTTCTAAGGCTTGTCCGTGGGTCTAGATGAGGATTTATTGGCAGTGCACAGTTCATGCCTACCTTCCCGTTGGCTCCTCCTGGCACGCAGAAGACATACTCAAGCTGGAAGACGATGGCGAACGCTGGGTGAGGAACCATTTCAGGCAGGTGGATGCGACTCCTCAGAAGCAGAGCTTGACCTACACGGCTGCACGGGAGCGCGAGGAAGGGAGGGCTTGAGAGCAGGTTCTAGCAGGGCGGCGCGGGCGGCTGCAGGAGCGCGGGCAGCGGCGAGCGCGCCGAGCAGCACTCACCTGGCTCGGGAGCCGCGGCCCGCGGGGCGTCCCCGGGCCACCGCCGCCTCGGGCACCAGCACGGCCACCTGCGGCGCCGCCACGAAGGCCAAGCCGTTGTGGACGCCGACGCGCAGGCGCCGCTCCTCGATGGCCACGGCGCGGCCGTCCGGTGTGGCGCTCGCCTGCGGCACAGGGAGGGGAGTCACGGCCTCGCAGCCTCTCCGCCCGACGGCCTCCAGCCCCGCGCGCTCCCGCCGGGACCTCCCGCCGGCCGCCGGAGCCTTCGGGGCCTCCGGAGAGGACAAATGAGGCAATCAGTCATAAACTAATAAAAATGGAACCTGCCCCAGCGTGAGCGCTGGATATTAAAGTGTTTCATCTTCTGAGCAGACCCGACAGCAGCCTGACAAACAAACAGGGACCTCGCTGGAGGTCTCTGCTGCTCGCTAGCGGTGCCGCTCGGGCACAGGCTTCGCAGAGCGAGCATTAAGTCGCAGCCTCCCATATTCAACACAGAGCAGACCAAAAGGCTGCTTGTTGCTTTGCTGCTCAAAGCAAATCTGACATAAAATTCCTGCGTACTGATCCAAGAGGCATTCAAGTAAAGCAAGATGACAATTTTCATAGCAGAAAWAGGACCCTAAGCAAAACAGACACACTAATGGAGTTTGTCTAAATGTTTCGGCTCCACCTGCAAAGAAGGCACCGTTACTGCTYATCATTCCTTCTCCTATGCAGCTCTATAGGCTCTATATAGGCTCTACCTTCAGYAAGCGATCACTGTTGAGTAAATCCAGCAGTTCCTCCTCAAATTCCTCCAGAGAAGGGTACAGATGGACAGAGACTTTATCCAGAAAGCAAGTGATGGGCTTCATGAGCCGCGGTGCCAGGAAGCAATCATCTGAAACGACAGGGCAGCGAGTCACCCGTCACCCGGGGCCTCCCTGRGCATCCACCAGCCACGAGGGCTTCCCTGGGGCAGACCTGCTGCCAGAGCAGAGCGCAGAGCCCTCATCCTTCCACAAGGAAAGCTTGGCGTTACAGAGCAGGAATCCACCCTGATGCAGTCGCAGCAACCACGACCACTTCACGGGCTCCCTCTCCTCTGCTCTCCTGCCTTTCAGTCTAGCAACTCACAGCCTACACCTTGCCTAAACTACCCTCTGTAAAGGAACAGGGAGGCTCAAGTTAGTTCACATGCAGCGCTCTAGTGCTCGCTGCTGCTCACTTCTTTGCTTAGGGGAGGGAAAAGGAGGCGTAAAGGAGGCTCCGCAGCACCTTCCCGGCTTTAGCAGTAACTGATGCAAACCAAGAAATGTCATCAGGAGGGACTTCTAAGCAGTAAGTTAAGAAAATTCAGGTCAAGAATTGGTACTCTATTCTCCAGATTTTCAGATCCCAGACTTCCACAGTATCGACTCAAAGCACAAAGCTCTGAAATTCACAGGCAGAGTCTGCGGATGCTCCGCATGGCCAATTCTTCCTCTGGACTTGCCCACCTCCAGGCAGCCAGAACCCTGGCACGGACACGGAGAGTTTTGAACAAGTTGTAAAGACTCCTCCTAAGACTCAGCTGAATGACCCTAATTAAATGGACCATTATTTATCCACAGCACTTTCCAGGCAGTAAAGCAATTACCAGGGAAGAACAGAATGAGACCACTTTGACATATTAAGGGTTGGATATAAAATGCTACGAGTACATCTCAGAGAGGAAAATTCCAGAGGCCTGTGCTCTCTCTCCCCCCGAGGCAGTGCCGGAGCTCGGGGGAACGTTTGTACCAGACGGGAACTGCAGCTTCTCACAGGAAGATCTTCCCCRGAGGAGGCGCAGCGAGCGCGGCACTGTAAGGGAGCCCCGTTGCACTGCGGTGGGCACCGGCAGCACCGGGGGCCCGTCCTGCAGTCCCAGGGCACAGCGCGCGCTGCTCTGGAGGGCAGGGGCCGGGCACCCCTCAGGACGTGCTGCCACACAGCAAGGTCATGGTCCCCGCTGTTACAGGCGGCCGCCAGCCGGGATTAGTGCGGATTAGCAGCGGACACCACTGCCTGAGGCAACCCCCACCTGCACAACAGGGCTCTGCTCTGCAGCCGCCTGTTTCACTGTGCTGTAAAACACCTGAACACAGACGTCCGGCCCTCTGCGCGGCAGAGAGGCCCTTCCCTTTCCAAGTAACCACAGAGGACAGAGCCCTGCCATCCTGGGCTTGCTCAGGCAGAGAGGAAAGGCACCGCCGAGCGCGGTGCTGCCCGCGCTCCCGCCGGGACTGGCACGCTCAGCAGCCCCAGGACGGTCAGGCCAGCACCGCAGCACGCGGCGATTCAGCCGACACGGACAGAGCAGGTTAACGGAGTCCTTACCCGTGTGCCCACGTGCAGGCAGCACACCAGGAATCCTCTGCAGCCCAGACATGAGCAGGTTCTCAGGAAAGAGGTGAGCTATCGTCTCCAGGGGTGCGTGGGGCCGCAAGGTGTACTGCAGGTGGCTGTTCTCCATCACCGTCATGTACTTGTTCTCTAAATGAGAGAAAACGTTGTGAATGCTCCAAACCCTGGCCAGACAGCCCTAACACACTGCTGTCAGAGACCATCGATAAAGGAACATTTTGGAAGCAGAACCATTTGTCTGGGAGTTGCTGCGGAGCTTAAGGCTCCCTCTCGGCACCAGAATGAAGTTCCTGTTCCACACATTGACGCGAATCTCATCCAAGAGCTTCCACAACTCTCAGCTACTCTGCAGCTTCTGGCATGTGTGGAATTAAGCAGTTAGGACTGTTTTCAGAGCAAGTGCAATAACGAGGTGACTCTGGCTGTAAGATACACTCGCTATTTCCAGTGCCTGTGCTGGCAAGCTGAGTACTTGGGATGGGGTATTACTCAGACACCGATTACACCTCTCAAATAGCAACAGATCCGAGCTGCCTCCTCTCAGCAAAAAGCACTGTATGGAGAGCACAGAGCTCCCTAATGGGCTGCCACGGATGACCACAATAGTCAGTGTTTTTCAGCCGTCTTTTCTGACCATCACCACTGGGCACTCAAAGCTCATTCCTGTCACCTGCCAACACATCCTCAGGTTCTGCTGTAGGACGCATGCGCGTCCCTAGTGCAAGACTCCTCCTCCAGCAGAAGRAAAACGGGCACCTTTCACCTGGTGACTGTCTATGAAGAGCCCCACGTGGAACAAAGCAGCTGGCAGCTTCCAAAGCCGACAAGCCTTTTGGCAGCAGAACCATCCTATTGTACATCTTATTTCCACTAAGCTGCAAACAAAGGCATTTCTAACTCTGGTTTCTAATTCTGCCTGCCTGCAGTCCTGGTTACGCTTTCCCAGCTTTTTCCTAACCCAGCACTTGCATGAGTGGTAAGAAGCACAGGGAATTTTCTCTCCCTTCTGCACAGGTGAGATGAGGACACCCTGCCAGCCCCGCGCACTGGGAGGACACTCGCTCGGCTGCTTTGAGCCCGCAGGAAAGCGGCGAGCGAGCTGACAAGCACCAACCACGTCCAGAAGGACAAAGGTCTCAGTTACACGCTCTGCAAGACACCGTCCGCCTGTGTTTCACCTTGTGTGAGCAGCAGCCCTTGCTTTGCGAGCCATGGCTGATCAATACRTATAAATAAATAACCGCATCGCATTTGTGAGGCCACAGCGGCAGCTTGTCAGGGCAGGACTCGCACGAGAGCCYTTGCCCTCCGCTGCCTTGCAACTCCCGCTCGGCCTCCCCGCGCTGTGCTCGGGCATGCATGGCCACCAGCTCTGCAGGAGGGGACACGTGTGCCAGACGCTCGCAACGGGGCCTGCCCAGCAAAGTGGCTCCGAAGGCGGTATCCGCCTGCACTTACTTTCCACAGGATCCTGGAAAAGCGGATGCAGCAACGCACGGGGCGTCCCGTGGTAGAGCTTGAGCCTAAATCCAAAGAGAACAAACCAAATATGAAACGTTCAGTAAATTAACCCTACAGCACATTTGCTGCAGTACCTCTACTCGTCAACAAGGAACCCATCCCTACTCTGTTACCACAAATTGTCCTTTTGGAGGACAACCACATTTCTGCTTTTATAGCAGTTAAGAATCCCAGTCTCCAAGCCCAAGGTGTGTCCTCACAGCCATGGGACYACCCACTGCAATCCCCATAGGCAGCAGGTCCAAAGCACCTTATGGTGCTCCCCAAACACCAAGGGGCTCTGTTTCCCCACGCAGAAGGCACCTACCCTCTATCCTTGGCAGCTGCATTCGTCGTTTCCAACTTGCTGTTGAACAGATGAATGATTCCAAACCCACACGACAGATCCTGAGAGATCCCATCTTGTTTCTTGACTATTGCCACAACTTCTACTACAGCAGTGATGCTGGGGTGGTCCAACGAGGTGTGGAAGTAAACGGTCTAGCGGAGAAACGAGGGAAGAAGGGAGAAAGGGTATGTGAGACTGCACGGCTGACTGGAATAGCTCCTGGCAAGCGCCCAGCACATGGCAGCAGGAGCAATGCAACGCGGAGAGCGCTCCGGGATGGGGCGGGAACGAGGAGCCCTGGAGCCCGGACGACGGGTCCGCAGAGCTGCCTGCTCAGCCTGCACGATCCCCCCTGGATCGATCCTTGCACCTCGTCAGGCTGCCACGGCCGCTGCCGCAGCGGTTTTTGTGTTTATGACTGAGCAGCAGCACAGTCCTTGGAGAGCCAGGAAAGGCTGCTTTTCCAGGCAATGCGGATTAGCAGCCCTCAGGCTGCGCCCRGATTAAGGGCCGGATTTACAGGCCTGTGTGACCCCTCGCTTTGTTGTGCGCCCTGTGCTGGAAAAGGCCAGCGCGCAGAGGGCACAAGGGCTGGCACAGCCCTCACGGGTGCTGCGAGGAGGGGAGGCCACAGCGGCAGCGCCCCAAGGGACCAGACAGACACAGGTCACCTCCCAGGGACAGCGCTTAAAGCCAGGTTAATCTTTCTATTAAAGAGTCATTACCAGAGTGTCCCAGCGAAAACATTTACTGTAATCATAGACTGTCAGGAAGGGATAACTGAGAGGGACATTAACACATCATCCCAGGGAAATAAATCACTATTCTATTATCTCCTAGCGCAGAGTGCTGCGGTGATGACCGCTGGCTGCCGACAGGGGCTGGACACACAGACAGATGCTTTGGCTCGCGGAGAGCCCCGGGGCCRTTGCTGAGCTCAGGCTTGGGCCGGGACCGTCCCAGGGGTCGGCGCTGCCGCTAACCGCCGTGGAGCTGAGGCCGAGCGTGCYGCTGGCGAGGCCTCGCTCCCCGCGCAGGTCCCGCGGCCACCCCATTGCCGCYGGGAGTGCAGGGCACCTGAACGGTGCCCGAGGGCCGCCTGGCACCTGCAGCCGAAGCTCCAAGGTCAGTGTGGAGATCAGCGCTTTGTCCTCCCCTCGCACACTCCTGACTGCTGCGAGGCTGCTCCCCAGCCAGCAGCGACCCCCGAGCGAGGGCAGGGCGGCCGCGGGGACACGCGGAGCCATTCGGCCGCTCCAGCGACGTGCTGCAACCCAGAGCTGCAGCCAAAGGCCCTGCTCATCGTGCCCGGCTGCCAGCCTGCGGCGTCACGTACCTCGCAGCGACAGCACGTGGCAAACAGGGCACGGGGACACGCACAGGRACGCGCTGCCTCCTCTGCAGCACCCAGTCCCAGTTCTCTTCAGACTGCCCGTCATAACACACACGCCAGCAGAGCCACCCTGACACCGCTGGGGATCGAAAAGCTGAGGAGCGCACCTCTAATGCGTGCTGGACTTCACCTTTGGCGCAGTGCACTAGCCAAAGGGGACATAAGGTGGAATCATAAAGAGTCCTGAACAAGGAGGTGAAATCTCAGCTGCAGTCGGCATCTGAACCGCAAGGATCCGCAGCCTTCCTCTTGGCTAAGGGCACAAACCTGCCCCTGCTCCGAGAGGGGCGAAGCCGCCTCTGCCAGCCGTGCTGCTAAGCAGCCCCAAGGAATTCTGCAATCTTTCACCTCATTGCAGCGGGAGAGACAAGATGCCATTCCCTCCTGCTGAAACGGATAACGAATAAAAGCATGTTTTTGTGTAAASGTAACCGGGTGGTAATGAGGGACCTGCTCTGCCCGGGTTGGCGCTCGCCCATTGCTGAGCGAGCAGTGCACTCTGCTGTCAGCTGCGCAGCACAGCAAGGGACGCGGCACGAGCAGCCACCGCCAGCGCTGCACCCCACGCTCRCAGGCCCCACGAAACCCAAGCTCCCCCATTATGCACAAGCTGGACACGCGAGATCAGAAAGTGCCTTCGTGTGCGGGATGAAGCACAGCCAAGAGACCGGGAAGAGGCTGGGTTGGTTCATACACTCAGACACACAAACCGAGTGACCACTCGTGGCTCCCCCTCCATCCATGAGGCCGCAAACCATCCCGGCRGGCGGCCCCGCACCTCGTTGAACACGGCCCCGGGCGGCTGCCGCGGCTCCGTGCGGAGCGGCCTCCTCCGGCTCCTCCACGTCCTCCCAAAGAAGTGGCGGTAGGCGACGTCGAAGAGGGTCAGCCGCAGCTGGTACTCGGTGTCGCAGGGGCCCTCCGCCGCTCTCTGCAACACAGCACACGCATCTTAGCTAAATTACTCCCCCCCGGGGCAAACAAAAAGCTTCACTACAAAGCAAGGAATGAATCATATCTCTCGGCAATGCCCAGTTTTCCTTGCTTTGATAAATTCCCTCATGCTGCTTGCATGCAGGAGTGGCTGTTGCAAAGGCAAACAGGCACCTTTTAACAAGCAGAGGCTTAAAAAGCAGGGGTTTAAAAAGCAAAGCGTGTGTCAAACTGCAGCGCTTTACAAACGGCAGAGCAGCGCGGGGAGACGGCCCCTCTACCTGTGCGAAGGCGGCCCCCTCGACGCGCTTCAGCACGCACTGCAGGGCGCGCGCCGCCGCGGGGCCGCGCGGGCCGCGCTGCCCGTGCGGGGGCACGGGCACGTTCTGCAGGAATTGCTGCTCCCAGGCGCTCATGGTGCCGTGGCCCCGTCCTCGGGGGCAGCGCGGGCTGCCCCGGTGCCCGTTGCGACGGGACGGCGAGGCGGCCGCTGCGGCGGGAGCCCCGCGCG